GTACCCATTTAAACACCTGGGCAAAGACAGGCAGTGTGAGAGTAAAGTGTCTTACCTAAGAACACAACACAATGTCCCTGGCCAGGTCTCAAACCTGGACCACTCAATCTGGAGTTGAGCACTCTAACCATGAGGCCACCGCACCCCACAAAAGTTCTCTAAAGCAAAAATGTAATTATCCTGAAATAGGCAGCATATGTCTCCACAACTTTACTTACCAAGTTTATGAATTTTACTTTTCAACACCTCTTTCTTTTCTTCATCAAGACACGAGGTAGCAACAACCAAAGGATTGTGTTTTAACCTTGAATAAATGAGTATAATAAACTGGTGAGCCTTCATTGACAATTGAGGTGAGAGTCAAAATGAAAGTGACTGTTTTTTAAAATAAAGAAAGCAATAGCAAGCCTTGCAGACATGTATGGGAAGTTTTCAAAATCATTGAACTCAGAGGGAGGCAGGCTAATACACATAATAAACCTGAGGTAGTGTAGGGGTCAGCTTCTTCATGTGGTCTTTGCAAGCCAGTTCATCTGACTTTGGAATCACAACTAACTGGAACATGAATCCTTAGCAAGAACTTAGATTTTTCTGGGTTACGCAAGTGAAAATTACTTAACACCTTTCCTTGTTTGATGATGAAGCTCAAAATTTATCACTTCTTTTGCTTGATCTAACACTAATCACTCATGGCAAGTATAAACTTTAAGACGAACGTGTATAATCATGTAGATAGTGGTACAGATATATTGTCTTTCAAAAAAGGGGGTAGCTTAATTAATAAGATTTCATCATCCTGAAATCAGTGGTGATTGATTGATATTAATCAGGATATTAACCAATAATTCAGTATGAGGTTAAAAAAGAAAACTAACAACATTTTTAGGGAGAAATAAATGGATTCAGCACTTTGAAATGTATAAGAATAAGATATCTACAAGAGAGGAAATAGGCTAAATTCAAATAAACCTTGTCTCTCTAGTAAGTAGAGTGAATTAAGGTAAATATCTCAATTACTTGTAATAGCTGTCATTTTTTCCAAACAATATTTCATCTCCATTTTTCAAGCTAACTTTTCCACTGATTTTAACCCCATTAACAGAGGTTCCATATTTCGAAAAGTCCTGCAGAACTACTTGTGACCTTTCATTTGGATCATTCTGTAAAACAAGTGTACAGTAATTATAATAAAAGAATCAAACAGTACAGCTGAGTTAGTTCAATTACCAGGGGTACATGTATCTACCACCTCTCACATGACATTATCATGTCTTTATTGCTCTAATTCTTTTACTCTAAACAAAGCAACACCAAGACAAAGGAAAGTGGAGTACCTTGAAACTCAGTTGTGGGTTTCTGTACAAATTTTGAGGAAAAAAACTGCCAGCTCATAAAATGTCATCAATAAGAAAAAAAAGGAACTCATTCATGCCAACAATTGGACAAGATAGATTTTAAAAACATTTGAAGTCTATTGATTGCATTCTCTCCATACCTTAAGCTGTATTATATCATCGTGATATATTAGTTAGGTTTCTACTGTTATAGGTAACCACAGCAACACAAGTGACAAAAAATTGTAATTCAATGTAATATAATTCAGAATAAAAGTAAATATCATGACAAGGATTCTACAATAACTCAGAGCACTGACTTAGGCAAATGATCTTAAGTGTTACAAAGTCACAATTGGTGGTGCTTTGTATCTGATTGGTTGGAAAGAAAAAGGGAGTTTTCTGGTGACTATTAAGAACAGCTCCAATTGAGAAAACCTGTTTGCCAACTCTCAGAATTGGGTATCAAAATAATATTGTTACCATCTGTCTGCCAACATTTCTGCTTAATACTGTTGGCCGACAGTTGGCCGACTATGGGTCAACAAGTTATTTAGAGGAGTTGTTCTTGACTGATAATAGAAACCAAAGTAAAGCAAGCAAGGATTACTTTCAACACTCCAGTGAAAACTACAGCATTAGAAGAAAAGAAAAAATAGAAACAAAGATTGATTACCAAGTGCCTTGCATCATGTTGAACCGTGAGAACACTGTGCTTGCGACTTATGGAAGCATCACCTTGTATTAAAATTGAGCAATCTAAAAACATAAATGTTGGTGAAAACCACAATAATACTTTTGTAACTGAACTTGTGTATACGGTTCATGACATACATGTATTTTTACTCATACAGTAAAATCAAGCAAAAGCAATCCCTAAATGTGATAAATATCTTTCCATTTCTTGCAAGGAAAACATCGGAATTCTTCAACTGTTCTCAGAAGAAGAAATGTCGTTCTATCACCAACACACACACATGATCCTGAGTAACTATCCGGTACATATCCTCTACTGTGTGTCTTGGGTTTACCATCAATGACAAACTGTCTTGGTCTCAGCATGTTAAATCAATTTGTGTGTCATTCAATAATAAATTCAAAATGCTGAGACATTTAAGTTTCCTACCCAAATCTATGTTAGAAACTCTGTATTTTAAGACTTTAATCCCAAGCATCCTCTATGGGGTTGTGGTCTGGGGCTCTGGCTCCAAATTAAAAAAACTAGAATTGATACATATCAGAGCTGCAACTGACTAATTCATAAGCTGCCAAAGGGCATGACAGATGAAGATATCTTAGCAAGTGTGGGGGTGGATGCCTCTTGAATATTTTTATAAATTTCGTATTTTAATTATTACTCATAAGGCTTTTTATGATTTAAGTTTAGAGGAAATAAATTCATTAGTTGTTAGGAGCTGTAAGAGCTATAATCTTAGGAAAAATTTAAATATTTTAGTTGATAAGCCAAACACTGAGCTTGGTTGTAATTCTTTAGTACAAAGGGCTGCAATCGCCTGGAATTCCCTGTTTGACAGCGTAAGATCTTTTTCTAAGCCAACAGGTTTCAAAAATCGACTGAAGCAGTTAAAACATAATGTTATGAATATCACCTTTGGAAAAGGTAGTTCTGTAGTTTATAATAAGAATTCAGACTTATTATTATTTATACATATATGATTATTTATCCGTCTTATTAATCTAATGTATGATACATTACCATGTGTTTTATTTTATTGTTAATTTATTGTAGTTGGTCCACATCAGCTATAAAGTTGCCTTATTCCCCATTTCTGACCTGCTTTACTAACTAAAGTATGTATATGTATGTATATGTATGTAACTAACACTCATTTAATCCTATTCATTTGCTTGAGAATAAAACGCCATGATAAATTTTGACCAGAGTAAATCCAGTCGAGACTTGTATACAGATAATTAACACGACCATCCATCATCGTACAAACCTTTTCTTCCCACTACATGATCCTCTCCTACCGTTAAAAGAACACCTGGAAAGACATAAAGTATGTTTTTCAACGAAGAAAGAAACATCACTGCCTCGCTGTTAAGTCAAATGAAGACTAAAAGATACGAACCTGCATGTTCTAAATGTGAACTCCTCTGCCGACCTTCGTAAAGGATCCACATTCAGTCGAAACAGCGAATTCGTCTTAATAACCCGCTAACCGTGAACCAAGCTGAAAACAATCTGGGACTGGATCACAGTACCCTGGTCGGGAGTAAAGAGTTCATATTTATTAGGTATGCGGTCAACAACGCGGGCTCGAGTGTCATAGGTCTAAAATTTAGCGAAATTAGCGGAAAATAATAAGGGCTGACCTTTAAAACCGAGGAACTCGATCTGTTTTCGTCGAAGGCACTTTCCTATTTCCAAAGGTTTAAAGGAGAAAATTAATTTTTGAAAATTTTTAGGGGTGTACCAAATTTTTGGAGGTTGTTCTGTAAAAGAAAAGCGGCAAGGAAAACGACGCCTCGAAGCAACAGAATAGGAAATCAACCATGCGAACGACTCAAAGTCCGTG